ACTTTTTTCAGGTGAACAAATCAGCGGGTCCATTCAATGCTCTTTTTTGCGTGGGAAAGTTCTTCCCCGACGAATCAGATCGGCTCAATGAATTAATGGACTACGTTGAAGGCTGGGCCCAAATTCCTCTTCCAACTTACTTCATCGGCGATTACGGAGTTGGCGCGCCCAAGGTTTTGTCGGCTGTATCGAGGAACTCCGCCAATCAAGGTTTCAAAATGGACGGTTTCAAAGTTTGCGACAATTTGTATTGGTTAAAAGGCAGCGGGAAGTTCACTCTTCATGGTTTTTTTTATTGAAACTTCTGTGAAGTAGTTTCCGTTTGGTTACCGAGAAAGTAGACGAAATTAGGATAGAAAGTTCATGTGAAAATTTTATGTCATGTGATTTTTTGTAATTATATTTAGGTTTGTCTGTGGCTTACTTATTTGGTAGGGAGTCGTCCAATGGCCAAGAGTTTGGAACATATGGTCAAGATGACATTGACACGTTGCGAGCATTTTATGAGGAACCTGGAATAGTTGATTTCTTTCTAAGATATCCTTTGCTTTGCTAGGCATGGAAACTTTTCAATTTTTAAATTGTATTCCTTTTTCATCTTGAATTCCTTAATTAGTTTTTTACTAATGAATGGCCAATTGGTGTCACAAACAGAGCTACTCCACCAGATATTCCTGCAGGAATCTCGGATTCTTCTGGCAGCGACTCTACTGTCGCCCAGTTAGTCACGGAGATCAAACCACGGTAAGTGATGACTGAAGGTTTTGCAATATTTGGTGCATCCAATTGTCAAAATTGACTGTTTTAATGCTTCTTGTCAGATTTATCATTTATGATGTTCCCATTAATCCTTAGATGCGAGAGTACTGACATTACACCCTATTGGAATTGTGCTTCTTTATTTCATTTTCTGTAACTTAAAATGATTTCTTTTCTTTTGCTAATGGTTGTTCTCCCTTTTAGCTACCACATTGCAGGTACTAAGGGTATATTTTATGCTCGTGAACCTTATTCTAACATTGATGTCGTACATGTAACTCGGTTCTTGGGTCTTGCTTCTGTTGTGAACAAAGAGAAACAGGTTTGACTTTCTTATTTCAACTCTTTCTTTTTTCTGTTCTGTGTATACTGGATATTTGTTGTATTCAGCAAGACTTTTACCTTTAAAGCTCTATTAATTTGGCATTAACCTGCATTGTGATAATATGAATATCTAAATCGAGAAATTTTAAATCGATAGTACCCCTTCGCTGGACCTCCTTGAAAATGCTGTTGTTCTTGTCTACTTGAGCATATCCTGTGCTCTTCTTTGCACTTTCCTCATTTTTAGAGTTCATACATCCCTGCTAGGAAAACACGAGAGAAGAGAGAAACAGGGGAAGAAGATTCAGAACCATTATATTTTTTGTTTTGTTGAATTTCTGCATAATCAAACAATTTTCTCTATATCATGATTTTGGGTTGAAATAATATCTTATCTTGTGAGGATTATCTGAAGTGTTAATTGTTTCAGGCACTACAAACTGCTTGATTCTTGCATCTTCTCCTCAGAAATTTCTTCATGCACTTTCTCCAACTCCATCATCAGCCATGTCAGCTGCTGAGATCAGTGCAAAGCCACCAAATACTACCTTATCTCCCTATACATTAGTTGACCAAGTGGATCATCCTAAAGAAGCCACAAAGAGAGCTGGTGATAATGAACTTGATTCACAATACTGGAGATACGATGTGTCGAACAAACGCCAAAAGCATGGGAATGGTGATGCTAATAAAGTTTGTTTTAAATTTATATCTTCTGGAACATGTCCAAGGGGAGAAAATTGCAACTTTCCACATGATGTTGATGCGAGGGAACAATTTTTGAGAGGCGTTTGTCTTGATTTTATTATCAAAGGAAAGTGTGAAAAAGGTCCTGATTGCAATTTTAAGCACAGTTTACAGGATGACAGTGAGTTATTCTCGGAAGAGACCTGGATCTAGCAATAGTAATGCTAACAGGTTAGTTTTTTATTGCCTTCATTTTTCCAACTAATTTACCTTGTAGCTAGACCACTGCAAATTATTGTTAATCTAGTCACATTTTATTGTAAGATATATAAACCACTATAGTGATCATCGTTTTCTTTTTCTTGAGTACAGATCAAAAGAGTGTTGGTTTTGTTTACCAAGCCCGGATGTTGAATCACACCTGGTAACGAGTATAGGGGAGAATTTCTACTGTGCACTAGCAAAAGGCCCACTTGTCCCAGATCATGTACTGATGATTCCAGTTGAGCATTTGCCAAATACTCTTTCTCTACCAGCAGATTGTCAACTTGAACTTGGCAAACTCCAGAACAGTCACAAGATGTATTATAAAAACCAGGGAAAAGAAGCAGTGTTCTTTGAGATATCAAAACGTGGCACCCATGCCAACCTTCAGGTAAAAGAGATTTCTCTTATGAGCATCGTCATTGAGGACCGGTACCCTTTACAAAATCTCTCATCTTAAGAACATTTGCAGATGAAATATTATTACGGCTCCCAATATAAATAAGCAATCGCCTTCCTCCATTTTTCAGTTATTCAAGAGTAACTTATAATTAAACATAAAAAAATAGCTTACATGGTTTCTCTATGATTGCTTCCTTAATATTGCAGTTTATTGACAGTGAAGTAGTTATCTTGGCATCTAATTGCATATTCCGTTCTTTTTGTGTAGGCCGTTTTTACTTTGGCAGCTGTTCCATCATCCAAAGCAGTTGTTCTTAAAGACATTTTTACTTTGGCAGCTGAAAAATTGGGTTTTGAATTTGTCACCAAAAAATGTAAGTTATATTATTACATTTGAGAAAGTTTAGTGCATATATATATATTGATTAAAAAAGCTTAAATGGCCGAAATACATAACAAACACGTTACAGAAGGTGTTGGTAACATTGCCTTCAAAATTTTCATCTGTATGGGTTCTGTAATGCATGAATGTGGTGTCTGTCCTAAGGGATACTTAATGTAGTTTTAGTTCTAATCCTCAAATTCATCCCCCCACTCCCTTTATGTTCCTCTAAATCTTTCTGCTCACATTTCTCACGCATTCAACAATAATTCCGAGGGCAGAAAATGGTTGAGGACACAATTTGATAAGAATGTTAGCTTCTTCTATGTGGAACTCCCTGAAGGTTCAATCCTATTACATTTGGTTGAAGAGAATGAGAAGTTTCCAGCCCAATTTGGACGTGAGGTAAGTTTCTTAATTCCTCTGCCGAACGTGATGCTGCTGCCTTTTTGTATCTGGCATGGCACCTACTTACTAGATTGAAACCTGAGTAAAAGAATTCTGCATTCTATTGCTGAACAAGATGCTTTGAATTCTTTCGTTATTCCTTAAGTGCCTACCTGTTGTTTTTTTTGATGACTAGTTTATTTATTTTTTCAACTTGGATTTTCACAAATAAATGATTGACAGCTTCTTATGTGATATGTCAATTGTAACATATTTTTTTATAAAAAAAAGTGTTCAGGAGAAATTTTCTATTGTTAAAAAAGAACATTTTTGCTACATAGGGAGCTGTTCATGTCAATGGAACTGGTATTCATGCTTCAATTGACATTCATTTAGGAATTGGGGCTGTGAGTTATTATCTTCAAACTCACACCATATGCTTAAAATTGTTTTCCAGAAAGGTGTTTTAGGGTACAGTTGAGGAATAACCAGTCACTTTTCATCAGAACCGGCTATTATGAATATTTTAAGTTACCTGAGACATCTTCATACAAGTGTGAAGGGTAGTAATAATGAAGCCAGTAGCTTACTTTAATACCTATGTGTGAAGGGTAGTAATTACGGGTGTGAAGCTTTTGTTCAGGTTGTGGCTGGCCTATTGAGCATGGCTGACAGGGCTGATTGGAGGAAGTGTACTATCAGCAAAGAAGAGGAGACCAAGCTGGCAGAAAATTTCAAAAAACGGTTTCAAGTATTTGATCCGAACCAGTGAGGATATGATGTCTAGGAAGTTCCTAATCAGCTTGTGGAAGGATGCTCCAAACCAGTGAGGATATGATGTCTAGGAAGTTCCTAATCAGCTTGTGGAAGGATGCTCCATGTTTGGTTTCCAATGGTACCCTCTGGAGCGAGCCCAGTGACTAATCCCGGTCTTCTTTTAGTTTGAGGTAATGTCCTTAAATCTTGTTTAGGACCAAGTCGCCGTTAATTACCTCTTATCTGTATAATCTATCTTTAATCATTTCTCTAAAAATGATGATTTTGACATTACAGCTCATTGCCTTTGATCTCTTCTCATAACAATATATATATATAATAGAAATTGCGTAATTGCCTGATGAATTTTGAATAGATTTTAATGATTCTTGATTAAATTATGGTATGCTTATTATTAGGGATGGATATGTGACCCGACTCGACATTTTGACTCAACCCAATTCTATAAAATCGGTTTTTTTTTTTTGAAAATTTAGGTTTGACAATATTATATGAATAATATTTTCTTTGTTGTTTAAACAAATGACATGGTCAAAAGTTTATTTAAGAAAATAATACCCTTTCAGCAAAGGCGCATCACATAAAACGTGTTTTTCAAAAGATACATCTTGTAGGATGTGCTTTTATTAACGTGATGCGTTTCTCAAACAATATTTCTTACAACTGCATCGTCTTTGACTAAAATGAAACAAATAAGAATAATGGATTGAAAATATTTAAAAATTTATATGAATTTATTAGATAAGAGGTAACACATGTAGTACATTTCAAATAAACATATTTATACAAATGTAAATAGGATGATCGACAATGTATAAATTATTTTTAATCACTTAATAAATATATATTTATAAAATTATTTTAAATATTTTAAAAATCATATATAAATAACATGAAATTTATAACCTCATAATAAGAAAAAAATAGTAATAAGAAATGTTAATCTCGTAAGTTGAACACATTATTTTTATCGTTATAATCAGGCAAAAAACGTCCACGTAGATCCAAATACGCGAAGTCCCGAGAACACAAATATTTGATACGCTAGGCCAGTTGAGCGTTTTATCCATTCTCTTCGAGCTGACCTACTAATCTCCGAAGGGAAGAAAACAAAGATCAATGGTAAATCTATCTCAATTCAGATCGGATATCTCCTGGGTTCGTTTTGTTTTTCTTATTTCCTATCTTTCCGAATTTGATTTGATTAATGTTTTATTTTGTTCCAGGCTTCTGCAAAAGCAATAACGAGTCCAGTACCAGATACGTGGTACCCAACCCTAGCCGTCTTGATGCTCGCCGTTGGTCTTGTCCTCACCGCTTCTTTCTTCATGTAACTATTTTGATCTTATCTCCTCCACTGCATTTCTTCATATTTTGCTCTAATGATTTTATTTCCGATTTTTCTCACTGGTTCGATTTAGGAGGTGATGTTTCCCCTTTCATATACTTGATATATATATATATATATATATATGAGTAATCTTGTATAGTTTGTGTTCGTTGATTGTATCCACAATAGGGTAACATTAGCAAAATTTTGAACTTAATTTGTTTGATTTAAGAAGTTGCTTCCGTAGATTTGTTGAGATGTTTAGGGGATATGTACTTGGGTAAAGTATGCAAATGGTCACTAAAGTTTTAGAAGTTACAAAATGGTCATTAAATTTATACCATTACAAAAATGGTCACTGTATATTATAAAATATTGATAAATTTAAGGATATTCTTTTAACAGTTTTATAAGTTTAATGGCTATTTCGTAATAGTTTGATAAAGTTCAATTATCATTTTGTAACCTCTTGGGAAGTGTAATGATTAATTTGTAAAAGATTATTTCAGTATAGTTTAGTGAGAATTTGTGTACTTTATCATCTTTTTTTACTAGGGAATTGGCGAGTTACAATATATTCTTTTTATACTTGTTGGTAGCAAATGTGAATTGTCATTTGCAGCCGTGGTGTCTGTTTTGGGTCCTTTCGGTTTTAAAAGTTCTTATCTCAGAGTGTATCTGGGTTTTATCTGGTTTATAGTCCCATGTTTTTCGAGTTTGAACTTTTATTTCATCTATTAATTCCAAAACATTGCTAAGCCATTAAGCTTAAATTCAAAAGAGAGAGAGATCAACTTTTTGCATGTGTAAAGTTGTATCTTATCCCGTTTAGTTTCTTATTGTTCTTCATGCATCATATTTTGCTGATTTTGCTATTTTTGCTGTTAGCACATTGTTTTTCAACTGACCTTACAGTTAGACCTTGTGTTTGTTTGTTCCCTTGAAAGTAATGAATCTCTTTGCATGTGTTGGATCTCATTGTAATAACTTGTAGGTGTTTTTTACGTTTCGACTGTACCGATGCTTACCTTTTAATGTTCTCATGCATCTTTTCACTAAAGAGTTCCAAATCGGTTCAATAATGTGGTTAGAACTTTCAAGTCTCTATTCAGTAAAACAATGGTCCCTTTCAATTATTCAACAACGGTTATAATTTTGCATATGCTGCTGATGTTTGTAAAGTGTTCATGAATGCTATACTGTTTGATATTACCCAAACCAAGATCCTTTAGGTATACTAATGCTTTATAGGCCTGAGATTACATTTGGGAAATTTTATGAAAAATTCATTTTTCCCGAAACATGCAGCTATGAAGCAACATCTTCTAAGCGAAACCGCAGCCTCGCCAAGGAGCTCACCACAGGGGGAGTGGCATCCGTGTTCCTGGTATAGCATTTTGTATCTGTTCTGGCTCAGACTTGTTTCTTTAATAATTCATTGCATTATTGATGCTTGATTCTTAATCTGCTTGCAGGGCGTTGGATCGTTATTTTTGATACTTTCAGCTGGTGTGTATGTTTGATTGTTGTATTGCTCAAACCATTATAAAATGATATCATGTTAAGGATCATGGCTTTGACATTGTTAGCTACAGACCTTTATCATTTATCAGATGAGAATAGCTTCTTTGATATCACCTGGGGCTGAATGTTCTTAGTACATGGTTTTATCAGATTCTTCACTTCCACACTGTAGTTCAACATCAAAGATCCATCCGACCTCACCGGCGGATCGGAAGAATCGAGAATTGTACCGATCACTCCTTGAATTTTTGCTTCATGGTAGAACAATAGATGATAAGAAAACAGAAAGATCTTTGATTCAGTATCCTCCCAGTGGAGAGAAACATAATAATAGTTCTCCACATTTAAGTGAATTTAATCAGGTCAGAGAGTAAGAAAATGTAACTTGGGGTCCTTGGATTCTTACCTCCGAGTGAACCTCAGTCTTTAAAGCAAGCTGACAAGCGCCCATCGATGGCCAAATGTAGCCAATTCCAGATCCCTGCAAACTGTAAAAACCTAAACACCTCAGTTAAAAACGGTCGAAACCTTGACCCCGAAGTAAATAATTAGGGTAAATTATCTCTAGTCACTAAATAAGTTTGATTTTATTTTTCTATCATTGAGTAAATAGATTTATCGGATAAAATTTATATTTAAATTAAATTATAATTGATGTTGTTAAATTTTGAGGGATCGAATTTGAGACATAGGACAACACAACCAATTCACCAAGCTAAGTATTATATAATTCACAAAAGTTACACGGTAAAGCCTTGCCGTACTTGATGTAATATTTTCACATTTCAAAATTTAATTTACTATTTTTATTATTTTCTATTTTCTATATATATATATATATATATATATATATATATATATATATATATATATATATATTCTTAAATTAAAGTTTTTAATGACTAATAATTTTAAAATTTTATATTTTTGTATAAGTAACGAAGATTGATAAAATACATTAATAACTTAATTAAAATATATTATTATAGGATTTGATTAACTTTTAGTCCGTTACATCAATAATTATATAAATAATGGCTTAAATAAATCAAAATAAAATTTTAATAACTAATTAATATTTTTTATTTAATAATCATAATAATATAGATCTATAATTTTATAATTAATATGATAATTTCATTCTACTGATATTTAATCAGACATTTATGTTTAATCACTCGTATTTAAAAATACATGATTATATATTATACATTTTTTATTAAACTAAAGGTGATTACAAAGTAATATCTATTCTAAGTATACTCAATCATTTGATAATAAATGTTTAATCACCCTTATAATCGTTGTTGCTCCAACTTGTGACTTCGAGGTATAACAACGATTTCTTTAATCACTAAAATAAATTTTATGCTATAATTTTTATTTTTATTTTTACATGTTTTTTCCTTTATCATAAACCAATCAATGGTTTTTTTTAATTAATTTTATTGAGACATTGTAAAATCAAACAAAACTTGCCGCGTGTATTGCAATCTAGTTATAAAGAGCGTAGCTCAGCAGAGGAAAACACAAACCCTCAGTTCCTAACCAGCATTTTTACCATTTTCCTTACCTATTATCTACCAAAGCCTCAATACACTCCCAGCAGTGTCCGGTCCCGGGTGCCCTGAAACCAGTCTCTGTCTATCTCTTCTCTATCTGCTTTAAAAGCGTCAGCAACACTCGCTGTCTCAAAAATGGAGTCTTCCCTACCCCAACAACAGCAGCAACAAGGACCCAAGAAGAGAGGCCGAAAGCCGAAGCCAAAGGACGAGAAAGAACAGCAGCAACAAAGTGCGGGTAAAACGAAAGAAGGAAAGAAATCCCAACAACCAAGCGTTGATGAGAAGTACACTCAATGGAAGTCTTTGGTCCCTGTTCTCTATGACTGGCTTGCTAATCACAATCTCGTTTGGCCTTCTCTCTCTTGCCGGTATACCTCGTTAACCTTATTCATTTTTTTGTTGTTGCTATTTTTCCTTGCAAGAGCTTGGGTTTTTGGTTCTGTTGCTGAAAAAAGATGTTCCCTTTGCGTTTAGGTTTAATTGTGTTATAATGTTTGTTTGTAAAGATCTTAAGGATTCGTGCTCACCCAAGTGGACTCTTGCTGAGCTGAACGGCATTCATGTTTTTAATTGTTCAATTTTGTGCTGTTGCCAATTTAGCTCCTTTTCTTCGTTCTCTCCACCCCACCGCCGCTCTTTTACACTTTTTTTAGGGTAGATAAGAGGTGAAAATGTATTTTCCCAAACATTTCATGATGGTAGTTTAATTTGATTTTGAGCAGCTGGGGGCCACAGCTTGAGCAAGCTACTTACAAGAGTCGGCAGCGTCTCTACCTCTCTGAACAGGCAAGCTTGTTCCTTCTAAGGGATTTTTTTGGGCCTTCTTTAAAAGGCTTTGGTATAGATTGCAAGCTGAATGGTCCTATTTTGTGTTGTTTGTTTGATGCTTCAGTTTTGCATGAAAAAAATGCTCTTTTGGAGTCTTAATATATGCATCATGCTTATAATTCATTCACTCAATGAACGTAAATAAAAGCTTGGTAGAGTAGAACTATGATGATGCATAATGAGTTTGTGCTGAAGTTATTTTACTTAAAATACTTCTCTCTTTTTTCTTTTGGAGAGAGGGGGGTGCTTTGATCATCTATTTTGAATTTTTTTCTATTGGTTATTCTCTTATAATGGCAGACTGATGGTAGTGTTCCAAATACTCTCGTGATTGCAAATTGTGAAGTTGTTAAACCTAGGGTTGCTGCTGCAGAGCACATCTCTCAGGTAAGTGGTAACTCGTTTTCATAGGATCTTTTATCTTTTTGCAATTCAATTAGTGATGCTTGCAGGTTTCTACTCTTTATTACATGATTTCTTCATATTTTCAGTTTAATGAGGAAGCACGCTCACCTTTCGTGAAGAAGTACAAGACCCTCATACATCCCGGAGAGGTATGAATTTTTCACATTCTAGAAAAAGAAATATTCATGGCTTTTTGGAAGTCATTGACATATACAGTAGCAGTGTTTTTGGAACTCAACTATGTAAAATGATGCTATGTGATTTGACAATTGATTTTTCCTTTTGAGATGAGAATTAATATATATCTGTTGCTTCTGTTCTATGACATCTGTGGAAATAGATATCCTGCCTACTTAAATTCCTGGTTTGCATATATAACCATACAATTTTATTATTATAAATTCTCTTTGATTTTCTTATGAAAGTTAATATGGTAACTGCCAAATACGATCTTGCAGGTTAACAGAATCAGAGAACTTCCACAGAACTCGAAGATCGTTGCAACACACACCGATAGTCCAGATGTAAGACTCTTGCTATTTATGTTTTGTTAAATGATGTGAATCTGATATTCATGTTTCATTTTGTTTCTATAAAGTTGTTGAAGTCCACCTGATTTGTGACTTGTTAAATCTAGGTTCTTATTTGGGATGTTGAATCTCAACCCAACCGTCATGCTGTCCTTGGAGCTACACATTCTCGCCCGGATTTGGTATGCTTATTTCAAAAATTCAGTTATTTGCATGCTAAAAGCTATTTCGGCTCTAGTGTGTATGTATATGTTTTTTCCTTTTTGATGGAACTGTTTTTCATCGATGACTTCTTTTTCCTTTTTGACAGATTTTGACTGGACATCAAGATAATGCTGAATTTGCACTTGCAATGTGTCCTACTGAACCCTATGTGATCTCTGGAGGTTGGGAAATATCATAGTTCAATTAAACTGTATATTTTTTTGTATAATTGGTTTTTTATTGATATATTTTGTACTGAAAACCCTCGTGGAAATCATGATCTTGTCTCTTTGATATGATCAAATCAGTAGTGACTTCATCTGTTTCCTATTAAAGTGTGGTAATCATGTTAAAATATTCAATTTGAGAGTTGAATGTCTTTTCCATATATAATGTATGAGATGTTTGAAATAGCTTCATTATATAATTTAGAAGTAACAGATTGGACCCTATGGCATGTTTTACTGTATTTTAGTGCATAACTTTACTTTGAGATTGTAGATATTTGTACCAAGTCCTAAGGGGATTACTTTTGTATTTTAAAAAATGGGTATACAGAACTGAATTTCATGCATATGATGAACTTCTGTTCTTAACCAGAGAACTTTTATGACAGGGAAGGACAAATCAGTGGTTTTGTGGAGCATCCAGGACCACATATCTGGTGGATCAATCATCAAACAGAACAAGCCTGGGGAAGGTAATGATAAAGCAGCTGAAGGCACTTCTGTAGGTCCTCGTGGTATCTTTTGTGGGCATGAGGATACAGTTGAAGATGTTGCGTTCTCTCCATCAAGGTAGCTGTTTTCCCTTTAATAAAATATAAATGGATTTAATTCTTTATCTGTATTTTCTTCTCAGGTTCAATTCATGAAATTTTCCTGTAAAGATGAATTCCTTCAAAATGGCGTTATCATTGTTTTCACTTCCGCAATAGTAATTTCTTTTTAATTGTCACTTCCAGTGTCATTTCTATGGCCTCTAATTTCTGACATTTTTTTATATGCTGTAGTGCACAAGAGTTTTGTAGTGTAGGTGATGATTCCTGCCTCATATTATGGGATGCACGAGTTGGTACTAGCCCTGCTGTCAAGGTAATTCCTATGAATTCTTGCTGAATAATGTAGCCTCATCTGGGCTTCTGATCATCATCTCAAAAATGGATTATAGTTTATAGTAGAGGATGGGGTGTGATATGAATCAGTCAACTAGGCAACATCATTGTTTTACCCACTTTTTCCTCTTTTGTTGATGGGGCTTGAAAATTTGGCTGCTGTTCTTATTCTAGTTATATGTTCCTTTTCTTGTTCTCTCTGGGGTTTCTTTCTCTTGATCATTGTCTGTTTTGAATCACTTTGAAGTGGATATGATTTGATATCAGAATCCAACCGTTTAGCTTTTTCCCCGCGTATGAATTCCTGTTAGTGAATCAACAATGTTCCTCATGTTTTCTGTTCTGATCTTGTTATTATCTTTATGAATGTAATGTTGAATTTGGATAATAAGCTAAATTCTTGTATTCATGTTGACAGGTTGAAAAGGCACATGATGCTGATCTTCATTGTGTTGATTGGAATTGCCATGATGATAATCTTATCCTAACCGGGTATGTCTCCATCGAAGTTCCTTCAATCTTGCATTTTCCTTTTGGCATCAAAGTCTGACATACGAAGAGAGTGGTACTGCTTCTTCAAGTTTTTGCAATGATATTGATGGGTAAAGTACGAAACATTATTCATCTTCTTTTGTTGATTTCTTAGGTCCGCAGATACTACTGTCCGCATAAAGCTGCCGTTCTCTGCGTTCAGGTCTGAAAATAACCTGACCATTTCTTATCCCTTACTTCCTTTTTTATTATAAATGTGATAGCAATTGTGATTACAAAATTTATAATTGTCATGATCCAGTGGTCCCCGGATAAGTCATCTGTATTTGGTAGTTCTGCTGAGGATGGCCTCTTAAACATTTGGGACTATGACAAGGTGTGAATGTGATTGCTTGAGCATTCTTCAGTTAATTTCCTTTGCATACATGATATGATATGTTTCGTATGTGTAACACAGATGACATACATGGCCATGCATTTATGTTGGACTCTGTTGTATCTTATTGCTGTCCGCCCACTTTTGCAAATTGCATGAATAATTTCTGCATAGTAATATTTTTATACTTCCAGAGTCAATTTTAGGACGCTGAATTCTCATGCAATTTGCAAGAGTTGATAATTGTGGTTCATATCTTCTAGGATTGAAATATATTTGTGAAAATGATGGCAGTGAAGATGGTTGCTAAGATCTCCATCTTCATCAATCAAACTCTGTTTTGATGTCTATGTTGCAACGGTTTAGGGTAGAAAATAATAATTCAAAAGTTAATCAATGGAACAGGATTTAAATTAACTGCAAGTCTTCTTTTTCCCTTGAGTTATACTTTTGTTTTGTATATTTTCTGTAAAACATAGTTAAAGGCTCTGCCTCGAAAGGCTGGTTCGGAATTATTGCATATCAGGCTTGTAATAGCTATGCTTGCTACTATTTGATATCGGGGTTGCTTTTACTTGCTCTAATCTATTGCAGGTTGGCAAAAAGGTGGATAGTCCTTCAAAATCTCCTAGTACTCCCGCAGGACTCTTTTTCCAGCATGTTGGCCACAGGTATTTGGACTCATTTTTTGAAGTTCGCTATCTATGCTCAATCTTAGTACTCGTTCCACATTCTTTCATCTGTTTTTTTCTCCCTCTTCTAGTGCTATCTCTATCCATTGAGCCTCGCATCATTGAACTGGTTTTTGTCACGCACAAGCATCTCTCATTCGACCTGAACTTCTTATTTAAGTGAATGCAAAAATGTTTTTAACACCTTATCTTGTATCGTTTGGTGTTCTCTACTGGTCCTCAATGAAAATATGCTCATTTCAGGGACAAAGTTGTTGATTTCCATTGGAATGCATCTGACCCATGGACCATTGTTAGTGTTTCCGATGACTGTGACACCACCGGTGGTGGAGGGACATTACAGGTATAATTACTAGTTTCCGATCTAGATTTTGTGCTAGAAAACATTTACTTTTTCTAGATTGCAAAATATGTTATATAATCGAAGGGTATTGTTCCAAGTTAATGCTTGCAATGGCATTCCTTTACTGTAGGTTTTCAAACTGTTGGTTTTCTTGCAAGGAATTCGAATGAATTTACAACTATTCCTGTACTAAACGGTTTTATGCAGATATGGCGCATGAGTGATCTGATCTACAGGCCAGAGGAGGAGGTATTGGCAGAGCTCGAGAAATTCAAGTCCCATGTCATTTCTTGCGCTGGCAAACCATGAGTGACAGGATCGATCGGAAGGCCTTCATACATCCAGATCGACTCGTAGGTGGCCATGTTAGTGATTTGCAGATTTTCAGGCATAGATGCATTTAGACAAACGGTTTTAACATTGATATTGGTGTGTTAACACCGACCATAACATCGAGGCTATAAATTATGATCAACCGACTGTTGGACGATGAACACCATTGAATTCTATGATGGGTTCCAATAACTATTTTTCATTATTTCCGTTCCCACCATGGTTGCATTGCATGTCACCATCATGAAATTCAACTGTTCGTTTTGGTGCATTATGAGTTTTTGCATAATCTAGCTATATTTAGGTGGACCTTAGTGTACTACTACCAGAACCAATAAATAAATAAATAATTAAATTAAATTAAACTTTAATTTTCCATGTGTCAAAACTACAGTTTAATCAAAGGTGCCCATTACATCCACTTCCGACATTTTCCTGCGAATCCACTGCTACCACGTAAGCATAGACCTTCCACATGGAGATCACTTTTCGGCCACGTCATTTAAGAGATTTTAGAAAAACCATCGAGTCAGTGATTACATCAATTCCCATGTCCTTCCTCTATACGTCGTTGCTTAAAATACCGTAAGGTCTTCTCACTTTTTATCTTTCCTTCTCTCTTCCAAGTCTGAACGGAACAAATATTTCCATGGAGGAAACCGCTGACGAGTCTTCGTCCTTGAAACGGAAGAGAGAGGCGGGAACAGCTGAGCTGAACGACGAAGGTGGTGAGTGCGAGACTGAGACGATGAGCGAGTTGTTGAAGCTTGTCGACGACTCAGCGGAAGTTACCGTTTCAGCGTCTTCATGCACGTCTTCCCCGACGTCGTATGGAACGAGGGTTAGGTTCAGCGACAATCCGTATTCGTCTGCGTTGATTTTTCAGTCGTCTTCGTACATCACCATCAACGGCAACGAAGAAAGCTGTGGCTCGTCGTTTTCGGAATCGGAGTCCAGCGTGATGGCGAGCATCGAAATGGGTGGGATTTGGAGCGCGAATGTGAAAGTTGGGAACGGTTCGGATGGGATGAGAGAGTGGTTGGAAGCGGAGGAGGACGGAGGCGCGTGGGTGGGTGGCGAATTTGGAATGGAACGAAGAGCAGCTGGCGAAGTTTGTGGGCGAGGGGTGTCCTTTTTGAAATTTGTCAGTAAACGCGGACAGTTATGACCATTTGTTAGTAGAAAGTTTAGAATATTAAGGTAGCATTGTATAGTGTAGATATACGGGAGAATGATACTTCGAAATCCCTTAATTAATATCTCGAAATTGTTAAATCAATCATTATGCATAAAAACTTTTATTTATATTTATATTTGATTTGATTCGAACCTAGGTAAGCATGGTACCAAAAATATAAATATGAGTAGAAGCAACTACTCATAATTCTGATAAATTTTGTTCGTTTACATCGATACCCAAAGTTATTGTATTTTCGGAATAAAATTTTAATATTAAAACCAAAAGAATATTGTATTTTGGGGATAACAATTGGAAAATAAAAAGATAAAGACTCTTTATTTTGATGCTTTCATAACGTGATATGCCTTTATTGATTGAAGGTCAATTCTCTATTCTTTTTATTAATAAAATTTGACTAGGAAGATAGAAAATTTGTTAACTATCGGCTAAGCCCTTTTCCATTTGTAATATCAGTAGTTGAATCCTTTGGGAGCTGAAGTTGTTCAAAGGTTAAAGAATTAAGCTTGGATTTGATTTATTACTTTCCCATTTCAACCAATATTCTGCATTGGCCAAAGTATACATGTACTGGGTATGAACAATTCTGGGCTTCTGTAACTCATCTCTTCAGGCATTCAGCTGTAGGCTGCCTCAACCGATAGTTTCTTCACGCTACCCGGACACGGATCTCCTCCGAACACTTTCGGTGCCACGGTTACCGAACACCATTGTCTTCCTATACAATTCTGAAACAGACCATACCCTTGTAAGATCATGTTTAACAATATGTTGAATCCTAAGAACATGTTTCACAGGTTTTGTCATACCTTTTGGAAGGCAGCGTAGGACTTGTGGGCATGGCAGCTTCCTTCACGGAAGTTTCCGCAACTTCCCTCTGGCATTCCGTAGCTAGCGAAGATTATTTTTGAAATTTTCTGCCCCGGAGGACACCATAAATGTGCTTTTGGTCTATTGATTCTTCCCGAGGTTAGCATTCCCCGTTTCTTCATTGTCGGCTGCCCTTCGAATATATCGGCGCATACACTTGTAGTTATTCTTTTGGCTAGAGCAATCCCGTTCGGATCGCCTCCCCATTCTTCAAACACGACTAGGAAATTTCCACTCGGCTTCAGCCATGAACGTGGTACATGGTACCTGCAAGTGAAAAACTAGATTACTACTACGAATATTTGAATCTGGCCCGACAAATAATAACCGAAACCGAATTGTTTCTCACCATCTTTGAGAAGGCTGTCCGCAATTTGTTCGGCATTTCTTGTCTGTGTAAGTTCCGGCGTAGTCACAAGCACCGCATTCCCCCCGGGCTATATATCCAGGCCAGTGGCGTCCAATACTCTGGCCATTGATCCATTCTTGCCCTTTTCCCATGCTACTCATATCTAAAACTACCGGTTCGTAGTCAAGCACCGCATTCCCCCCGGGCTATATATCCAGGCCAGTGGCGTCCAATACTCTGGCCATTGATCCATTCTTGCCCTTTTCCCATGCTACTCATATCTAAAACTACCGGTTCATCACCTTCGGGTGCATCAAAAGTAGTCTGCAAAAAAAACAAAACAGATGTTAAACATTTAAATCTTGTTCTATGTTTCCAAACATGGTATCTGTTACATCAAAACATGGAAATCTGCTAACCTTGTACCATGTCAAAGGTTGTTTCTTCGCTAACATTGATCCTTCAGCCCATTCAACGGAGGAGCTGCCGCTAACGGTGTAAAGGTTTAAGGCTTCCCCTTTAAGACCAATCTGCTCAGGATCGTGCCAGCCTAGTGTATTAATATACATGAAATGAAACCACTATATGTTTTAGCATTATTCAACAAACCTTGTAAGACCATTTCTGCTTAGATATGTCTCTTGTCCCCTCATTGAGACCCTTCAAGGTAACAGGTCCTAGAACACCAGCATTCCATGTCTCGAAATGAGTTCCGACATTCTGAAACATACGAAATTTGATGATCAATGCTTTGATATGCTAATTGCCAACCATAGTTGAAGTTAATGAAAAATGAAAGCCTAATCGGGGAAGTGAAAGAACGAACAGGGAGTCCGACTGCAACGCTTAACAATGAGATTTTGTTAACCCCGGGTATCAGCTTGACATTGTTGCTGAATGTTAACTTTGGATTTTCTAGTGCCCCATACACAGTCCCTGCTAGTTCACCATTGATGAAAACATGCAAAGCATGCCCAGCTGACCATATGGTGAGAAGAGGATCTAGTCCAGTCTTCAAAAACGCTTCACTGGGATCAATGTTTACACTAATAGAACAAGAGCATGTTAAGAAAATCGAATAAAATTATCGCGATAACATGTGTTTTACTCGGAAAGATAGTCGTTACTCGAGATCACTCACTCTGTCATGTACCACAAGTAATCAGAAGCATCCCTGGTGATAAAGATCTGTTCCCAAAGCCCATCATGTACAGTTACATTCTGATCATCAGCAGAGGGCCTTTCTTCGTTGTACGATTGCCAAGAAAATGCAGCGTTTACCAGCACCATCTGCTTCTCCGAGCTCTGAGCACCAAGCTGTGAAACAATTACATACAAGTGTTAAATATTTACATTAACCATCTTTAATGTGAAACAAAGTGGTTCTTTTTTTTACCCTGGCAGTGTTGAAAACAGCAGTTTTACAGTCAGGAAGGATGCTGATGGACCAACGTGGTAACTCATATTGTGCACTTCCAAAAGTTACATTCACGGAGTAGTTTGTGTCATAGTTTGCAAGGAATGCAGCACATTCACCTGAGCTTGAACTGAATACATGAGCCTGCGAATCGAAACGATTATTAAAAAATAAGAGAAGAAAGAACTCCGAATTTTAATCCGAAATTTCCTAATTCTCCTTTGAAATAGTAAAAACAATTACCTCCTGGTTACTTCCAAGTGATGTCACTGTAGGATCTGCAGAAACTAAAGCTGGTTCACATAACTTGATGGCTCTATGTAAATCTCTTAGATGTCCCCATTTTGGTTCCCTTAGTTGTCCTTGAATAAGACGAAAAACAAATTTAGAACCTCAGATTATTCATCATGAAACGGGTAAATAAAATCGTTCGGCCTTGGCTCGGACTGCAGTTCATATGTGCGTACCGTATTCATCAATAGGAGCATCATAATCATAGCTAGTAGCAATGAAAGGACCGCCTGCCGTCCGGCCAAAATTCGTTCCTCCATGGTACTGGGGAAAAAAGAGTTCGAAGTGATTAAAATTAAAGCTGTTGATCTTTCACTGCAATAAAATTCACAAGAGAGACGGCAGAATTGGATACCATATAATAATTAACAAATGAACCACCATTTTGAATGAACCTTGCAACTGAAAATGCTATGTCTTCTGCTGGTCTGGTAGGCACTGCGGCGCCAAACTCCGTAAACCTTCGGGTTTAAACTCGAATGAGACTCGAAATCAAACTACATAGCAAACACATTAGGCAGTACACGCAAAATTTGTATGACTTACCAGCCAGTCCAGTTCTCAGTCCACATCTTTGGTTTATATTTCGCATTGGGAGAAAAATTTTCACAGTAGAATCCGTTGCAGGTGTTTATCTGTCATAGTATAAAGGAATCATATTCCGGACTAGACACGAGTGTCAATACAGATACTTCAAGAAAAATAAAGAGTTCGAACAACATAGTTCGATCATGTCATGTCATAAAGTCGTACCACAGGGTCAGGAGCATCATCTTGCTTGCACATAATCCATGGAACACTGGTGTTGAGTCCGACTGCCATTTGTGCAGCCCATTTGGTGTAAACTTTACCCGGATCACCGATTTCCCATTCGACAGGACCAAATTCATTCTCAATCTAGCATTACAAGATTCATCAATGTCGAAGCAAAAATAACTGGAAAAGAAGAAAACTCAATGTAATTTTCCAAACCTGAGACATAATTATTGGACCTCCTTGAGTCTCAAAGAGCTTTTCAGCTTTCATCATGTTGACTATCTTCTCTGTGAATCCTTGCATTGCAACCTATATACATTGCAGTCAATATATTAAAATCAACAAATCAAATGCACCAAAGTATATATATATATATATATATCTCAAAGTTGTCAACCTTGAAAGGTTCATTATCAGTCCTGAAAACAATGTCAGGGACATATTTGAGCCAAACAGGAAACCCCCTGAACCAGAAGAACAGAGCATATTCAATGAATCTGCATAAAACTCAAAGATGAGTTCACAAAAATTTAATATTATCATTACCCAAAGTTCCATTCAGCACAAATATAGGGACCAATCCGGAGATGAACGTAAAGGCCAGCTTGTTGGACCACCTTAATGAATCGAACCAGATCATATCTATCCTCAAAATAATACTGCAAAATTGAAACAAAAAGCAATGAAAAGGTGAACTTTATAAATAAATTTGAATGCACGTCCATTACATTTCCAGGAGAAGGCTCGTGTGCATTCCAGAAAACATAAGTCTGTATAACATCCAAGCCTCCTTCTCTGGCAAAGAAGAATCCTTCTGCTGCCATTAATGATGATAGCTTTGCTATCATAAGAGACATTCGCTGAAACTGAGAAAACCCAAGAAGAAAACAACAGCCAAAACATGAACAAATCGGACACTTTTGAAAACATGTTCTTTGTTCCACACTATCAGCACTTCAACAAAGCAATGAGCTTTCTGTTTTGTCTTTGTATATCCACTTCCTCCTCTCCTATAATATTAAGGACGAAAGAGAGAGAGAAAATGACCTTACTTTTTGCTTTTTTTTTTTTATTTCTTTTAAGAACCTAAAATGAGGGAGGGAGTTTAAGGAGACAGTGGATTACTCGGTTGCTGGGTTTGGGAATTTTGAGTTTAATTTGTATGAGTATGAATGAGAAAGCAAGTTGCCCTGCAATTGCTTTATATACTCTTTCTTGTGAGATGAGCGACCCCACAGTTAGGCCTTTTAAATATTAAGTGTTATTAAATTATTATCTTAATTTTTC